GGGGGGGTCTGGACTCCCTGGACGTCCAGTTAAACTTAGGTTTTTAGCACAACGTACACTCAGAAAGTCGTAGTCTTGGTTCAACGACGCGTCCTAACAACAATGTTCTATCTACGGAGCGTCGTTTTCAAAATGTCCTATCTACAAAGAGTCGTTTTCACAATGTTCTATCTGCTTAAGAAAATCATAGCAGATAGGACATTGTGAAAACGACCCTTTGTAGATAGGACATTTTGAAAACGACGCTCCGTAGATAGAACATTGTTGTTAGGACGCGTCGTCAAGAGCAAAATTCTCTTAAATAAATGAAGAGCAGTTTCCTCCTGATTTGAGAGCAATTTCTTTTGTTTTCAGCCAAAAATGCTTGATTCAAGCACCAAATAATCTTGGACCCAAGCCAAAGTGCATCTGATACTTAACTAAGCGTCTATTGCACTTGGGTCTAAGTTTATTTGAAACTTGAGTCAAGTGTTTTTGTCTCATTACAAGAGAAATTGCTCTCAAATCAAAAGAAAATGCTCTTCAATCATTCGTGAGAATTTTGCTCTTGAACCAAGACGACGGCTCTCTGAGTGTAAAATGTGAAAAGGCTCTTTCGGAAGGTTTAAAATGACTTAGTTTTACTCTGAACAGGCCAAAACAAGACTTGTTTTGTGGATGTCACATTCAGTGAAGATCATGCTAGCAGCGATCATATCATTTTCAACATTCTCAACCTAAATACAACATTTTTTGACCTGTATTGCAATTTTTAGCTCTTTTTCTTTTTTTTTGCTGTTTGGTAAGGGGGGGTGATTCGGACGTCCAGGGGGGAGGGGAGTACCCGAAAACCGGACACCACCGGACAGGGGGGAGGGAGGGGTCATTTTTGGCCAAAACAACCGGACGGTCCTTTATGGATGGCCCCTGACGTAGAGGCGGGAAGTTCTCGAACAATCGGTAACGTTTATGTTCTACCCGCTATTCTTCCCCCGTGAGTAGAAATACACCATACCGCCCGGTTCGCTGGCGCGGTCGGCGCGGCCGGCGCACCCCCAGCAGCAGAACTGAGGGGATTTTTGACGCGCCGCAGATGCGGGAGATTGGGTCCCTCCTGGAGACGACAAGCACCGTCGGGCTGACGACGGCTGTCGATTACGAGGTGAGGACATGTCCCGCTTTTCCTGTATTAGTCGCCGACGCATTTGTGGCCGCGAGCGAATGCACAGGCGACCCGCACGCACGCTCGCACGCGCGCGGTACATCCTGGTCGGCCTGGTCTGGTCGGCCAGTCAGCTACCTGGTTCAGTCGTGCCTCCCCTTCCCGTTCGCAGATGCTAGTGCTTCGCGACACGCTGGCTCACAAGCACGCCGCCGTGAGGCTGTGCGGCTTCGTGACCGTCGACAGGGAGCTCGTCGGGGAGGTGAGCGTCAACTGTGGGGGTGGGGGTTGGTTTCTGAGTACGCGAGCCGAACTTTCCCCCACTCACACTCGTGTCTTTCTTTTCAGGTGTTGGTGGTCATGATGACCTACCTCATGGTCCTCCTCCAGTTCGCCCTGTTGTAAAACACGGGAATAATTTAAAAATTGAGAAAGCTATCAAAGAAATGTAACTGTGTACACACTGATTGATTTTGAGTTTTGACGAGCTCCAATGCGTTTCCTGTCGGTTCCATCGGCGCGTCCACTAACGCTTAGGGCACTCCCTACCCATCCCTACCGTGCGGTAAGCCTTCCGCCCAGAGCGCCACCACCCCCACCGCCCCC